GCATCTCATTTCTCTTAACTACTCTGACTGGAACAGTAATCCTATCCTTCTAGCATCGTGATGACAGAATGACCAGCATCACTTACAGCACGGTGACAACTCCAAATAAATGCATCATGGCTGTTTATTAAGGTTTTCACTTGGTTGTCAGTATTAGTGCTTCTTTAGCATGTGCAGTATTTCAAATAGCAGAGAAAACATGGTACATTTTACAGTTTCCTTCCAGCTTATAGAGCCAAGTATTACATCTAAATGAAACCTTAACGCAGCACCACTAGCTTGACTGATGCCACTCTGAGCTAAAACTAGCACACAGATGTAGTGAATGTAAGGCCCAGCAGTTCACCTCCAGACTATAACACTGAAATATTCAGTGAAACACTCACCGTTCACAGACATTGCCGGCATCACCAGAGACATCTTGGGCCGGCTGGTTTTATTGTGGCTGATGGCCGGTAACAGCAGGTGGTCCTGTGGGGAGAAACACAGGTGTGGATTCACTGTGGGCTGCTACATCTGCTGTGTGCTGAGCTGGAGGACAAAGACACGCTAGCAAAAGGTAACATTAAGGTAAACGATGCATCATCATCAACCAGAAGGTTGAGTCCTGATACTACAGCGGTAGCTCCGAGGGGTGCAGTCCAAGCCGACATGTTGTGGTGTTTCTCTAGTTTGTCTGGATTGAGCTCCATTGTCTTACCCGTCTGAAAGAAACGACGTAGAACGTGTCCTCTCTGCGGTCGATGGCATCCAGGAAGTCGCTGTAGGTGACCTCAGGACCAGGAAGCAACTGCAGTTGACTGCAGACAGCAACAAGAACCAGGAGGGAGACAGAACAAGTGCAGGGTCATTGTTAAACTCGGCTCCAGGAGCACATAACGGTTCCCTCCTGCCTGGAGCTGAAAGACAGTTCTTTCTTTAATGAATTAAAACACCAAAGCAGTTGACACACAAACCGAGTTCTAGCTGCAGTGGTTTGGATGTCATCTGGCTTCTTGTTTTAGCTTTTGGATCAAACAATGAAGCATAAAAAAATGAATGAGCAATGTTTAAACTATTCCTGTTTCACTTCTGGATGTTTTGCTTTTTCAGACTCCTGAAGTTTTAGTTTCAGACTCAGTTCCAGCCAGCGGGAGCACATGGTTTTCACTATTAGTTCTCAGTTTCACAACAGTTTGCATTTCTCTTGACACTTGGAGTGAAATAACTGACAACTGTGTGTGCCTGCCTCACTGGGAACTTAGAGGAGAAAGTAATAATGTGTTTTAATAAGGAACAGTTTGCCGTACCTGTCTATGGTGCGGTGAGCCTGGATCGGCAGATATCTGGAGAAGTTGCTCTTCCTCAGCTGAGCTTTCTGCATCACAACAGAGTTACACAATCAATGGGAATTTACCTCTGATTAGTTCATCTACAAGGGACACAAAAGAAAGTACGCATGCTAGTTTACAAATAAATCCTTTCCTGAGAGTTACTTTAGCTGAACATAATCAGCAACTGTGTGTTTTCCTCCTTGTTAGAAAACAAAAAAGCCGAACTCAAAACGCAAGGATTCACTCGGTTTCTTTGCTGTGAATTAAAACAGCAAGCTTGAGGAAACAAGGTAAAAGACAGGGAGAGCAGCTCCAGCATCAGCACTGGAAGAGGAAGAGGAGGACGTCCCCTACCTGGGCCATCTTGGCCTTCTTGGCCATCTTTGCTTTCCCTCCAGACTTCTTACGGTCGATCTGATGGCGGTGAACCCAGCCCCTCAGCTCGTCCGCCAGCCTGGAAAACAACAGGCCAGGTTAGTGAGCTTGGAGCAGCAGGGAGAAACACTACAGTGACAGAGAAGCTCAGACGACACGACGTATGACATATGATTTCAAATTCTGAGGAAGGAGGGCAGGAACAGATCGTAGCAGTTTACTCAGCGGTTTATGATTAAAATTAAGTTAAAAACAAAGGTGGGGAGATGAAGGAGGATCAGAGAGCAAACAGTGAAGACACAGACTTGTGATACAAAGAGGAGCTCCGCCGTGTCTGACTGACCTGAGCGACTCGGAGCGGTTGAACTGTCTGCAGTCTGACGAGGTGAAGTAACGGTCAATGTCCTGAAGAACCAGGTCCTTCACGTCACTGAACACGTCACTCAGGTTCCTGCAAACACACAGGCAGACATTCAAACAGACTGAGCACTGGTACAGCACATGGCCTGCTACAGGATGTACATGAACAACACTCAGGAAGTCCACGTCAGTGTTCAAGGAACACAGTTCTTCATATCCAGCCAAAAAAAAAAAACCACTGTGACAATGGCAGTGAGCGACATGTTGAAGAGCCAGTTCTGGTAAATGTGTCTGAAAGCAAGAGTGTCTGCATTCCTCTTTATCAGCTGGAGAACAGGAGTGTGAAATTCATCTGTCTACTTTGACTTGCTCACACTGTCGGTGACAAATATTTGAGAGAGGAGAGGCGGTTTCTAAAACAACATGAGAACATGTCACAGCTCATAACCTCTGAGGTGTAGGAATCAGTAATGAAGGCTGAAGCTGAGCTGACAGCGTCGTTCATCTGCTGTTTCCTCTCTGAGCAATTAGACTTAGTTTTCTTTAGCTTGTACAAACTAAAGGACCCGCAGCTTAGTAAACCATCTCGGCTGAACACTGCTCATGTCAGTGTTTCAGTGTGTTCTGCTCCTCTCACCTGAATTGAAATGCCTCTGGAGCATATCTCTCCGCCTCCCCCTTCTTCCATCGATCATCCCCTGGGTCGTCCTCCATCTCTGTCCTGTCCTCCGCTCTGCTTGGAGGCTCAGCAGCCACCTGCCCGATGTGGTTGGACCTCTAGCAGCTGGCGTCCTGTAAATGACACCACGCTGTCCTGCAGGCCTGTCGACAGTGTCTTGTCTGTGATGCTGCAGAGACGAATACCAGTGTGACTTAAGTCTGAGAGTTAAAATAGTTCTACATTTTTCTGCTCTATGTGCAAAAGTAAGTAAGAAAACACAGAAGCGAGTCATGAAGAAGAGCAGCTGCATCTGAACCTGCAGCTCATCTGGATTCTGAAGGGAGTCGTGTGTGCAGGATACCTGACGGGTCCAAAGCTGAAGGTCAGAAACAGCAGAATGGCCATGACACAAACGGCTCTCTTGTTACTCGCAGAGTCGCTGCCCTGAAAAACAGAAAGAGAAGCAACCTGGACTGTTAGCAGTGCTCGTTGTTCAGAAAGACTGTACATATACAGAGAGACATACTAATATACAAACATTTACACTTCCTTTGTGACTTCTGTTTTTTTTTTTTTATTCTTTGTACTTATTTTCCTCTGTGTCCATTAATCAAATTGTTTAAACTCTGACATTTATTCTGTCACAGCAGTTACCAACACCTTCACAGTACATGTGCCTGTCTGGTTTGCAGTGTATGAATTCCTGTTCGACACTTTCACACCAGTTTCCAGCATCAGGGTTTACAGGTTTAACTGATTTGTCTCTTTTGTTTTCTGCAGGTCAGACTGGATTTCCCTGTCTCACCCCGACCTTGCTCAACATGTTAACTCAATTCACATGCAGCAGCTGTACTATAAACTCCTCTACGTGGTAAATAACCATGTAGAAGTATTTACTTAAACTTTGTATTTTAAGACAGAAGCTGTCACTTTTGAATGAGTCTTAGTTGCTTTGCTTTGTAATGTTTTTTTCATATGGACAATTTTAGTTTATGCCGTTTCTTGCCATGTGTTCTGCACCTTTGTTTTTACTGGGCATCACCTGCCCAGGGTCTCTGGATGAAAACTAGCATGATAAAGATGATGATTAATTACCAGTGTTCTTGGTAAATAAAACTGCACATTGCTTTTGGCACTGAGAGCAGCCCAGAAAAATAAAGCTCATCAGAAATGGTGAACAGTAGAGGATGGTTATGCAAGATTAAACTGGAGGAGAAAGACGAAAGGTGGCAGCCCTCCAAACCCTTGTTGTTGGTTTATGTGTTGTTTGGGTTAAAGGGGGAGTTCAGAGGCAAAGCTGAGGAGAAAAACAGGGTCAGCTCCACTGACCCTCACCTCTTTCCCAGCTAGTCTCTCCCTCAGCGCCTGGTTCTCCCTGCGAAGTCGTTCGTTCTCCTGCTGGGCCTCCCTCAGCTGCGTCTCCAGATTCTGCAGGTACTCCTTCTTCTTCTTCCTCGACTGGCAGGCCGACTCTCGGTTCTTAATCATCCTCTGCTGCCGCTTCAGCACCTTCATCTGCATGAGGAGGATGAGGAGGCAGAAGGCAGATCCAACAAACAGAATTGGGAATGAGTTTGAAATAACAGAAGACAAAGGGACAGAGTTGGAGGAACAAGGAGATTCAAAGCATGAATAAAAAAATTTTAAGAAATAGAGGGATGAGCAGGAGGATGTTGACAAAAGACATGTGAGAAGAGCAGAAAGATTAGATGACAGGAAAGAAGAGAGAGAATAAGTGAATGGGGAAAAGAAAAAAGGGAACAAAGTTCAACAGATACATGATACAATCAACAACCTGAGGGTAACAGTGTTCATACATCACAGCAGTTATGTAGAGTAAGAGGTGTCAAGCGGATCACAG